TTTATTTATTTATTTATTTATTTATTTATTTATTTGAAGTTTATTGATTTGAGGGGTGGGGGAGGGGCGGGGAGGGGCGGGGAGAGAGAATCCCAAGCAGGCTCCGCGCCGATAGCATGGAGCCCGACGCGGGACTCAAACTCACAAGCCGTGAGATCACGGCCTGAGCTGAAATCAAGAGTCGGACGCGACCCAGGGTGCCCCTTTTCTATGTGCATTTGGAATGTGGTTATTTGTGGATAGCATCAGCTAGGTCGTTGGAGGAGTGAGAGATAGTGTTGTTTTGCAAACTCTAATCAGCAAGTACCTGAGGACGAATGTGGGGAGGGCGTCTGTGGCTCGCTCCGCTGCCCATCCCGGGCTCCCCAAGTTCTCTGCTTTTCCTTCACCGTTTCCGTCTGTGTGGCCCCTTCTCTTTCCACCTCTTCTTTGGGAAAGTGGCCGCGAGGAGTGGTTGGGATTAGAAAGGTCGTCTAGTCTCAGTGCCCCTATAGGGGGTGAGAGGAGGCGAATGCCACCAGTCTGTCCCTGTGTCCCCCCGGGTTTACTGTGGGTTGTGGTTGGTTCTGGGCCGTACCAGCCTTCCGCGGGTGGGGAACCTCGGGCACTTTGGCCGCACGTGGAACTAGATGGTGGCAAAGTCAAGTCTACATCTAAACGTTATTCCACACTATGACCGTTTCAGAGAAAACATGCCGAGCCACTTCAAGTTTAAGGAATACTGCCCGATGGTTTTCCGGAACCTGCGGGAGAGGTTTGGCATCGACGATCAGGATTTCCAGGTGAGTCGCTTTTTTGCTACCTTTGCTTCCAGTAGGGTTTGCTCTTTAAAATAGGACTGACCTTTTTTTCGTCCCGAGTAATTATGTAATGGCAATTTTCATTTCACGTAGGAATGTTTCAGTGTCCTTTCTGAAATAAAGGCAGGGTTCCGTCAGTTAGGGGCCTCTGGGCAAAAAGATGTTAGCGGTCCGCAGGAAACGACCATTCTTCGGGAAGCAAACACGCACGTGAGCGTTGCAGATGATACTCTCACTTCCTGGAGGAAGTGGCCCGTCAGCACAGCCTTCTTTTGATTTCTGCCATCAGGCGTGTCGACAGTCAGTGCCAGTGTGTACGTTGTGTCTTGAATTTGCGTTTCCTGTAGTTACAGGGTCCCCTTAGCAATCACCAAAGTTGTATTTTCGTGCTGATTTGCTGCTTTTCCAATCATCTGAACCCGACTCTCCTGCTCACAGCATTTTGTCGGAGGCCACGCCTTGTGCACCGTGACCTGGAGTGGTTGGTGTGGTCTAGTGACCGTAGGGCTGTTGCACCAGCAGGAGCCTGCCGCTCCTGGGAACATCGTCTGTTCTTGGTGCCCACCACATAAAAATGTCCACTGTTGCTCCCCACCCCACCCCCCACCCCCGTATTTGCCTGGTTTTCTCAAATTTGACTTTTAAAATCAAGATCATGGGGTTGTCTGGGTGGCTCAGTCAGTTAAGCACCCAACTTCGGCTCAGGTCATGATCCCGCGCTTCGTGGGTTCGAGCCCCGCGTCGGGCTCTGTGCTGACAGCTCGGAGCCTGGAGCCTACTTCGGATTCTGTGTCTCCCCCTCTCTCTGCCCCTCCCCCACTCACGCTCTGTCTCCCTTTCTCTCAAAAATAAATAAACATTAAAAAAAAATTTTTAAATAAAATAAAATCAAGATCATGGTGCTGTCCTATGTGCCGATCCGTGGTCCTTTCTCCTAAGAAAGGACCTGACATCAGTTACTTGATCTTAATATAATCAGTCAGATACGTAAAAGCCAAGGATTTTTTTTAAGAGCAGAAAATCTGAGTTAAGAGAGGCAAGGGCTAGTTTCTGGTCTTTTAGGACAGTCTGTTCATTTTGCTGTGTGAGCACTGACTTATTTTAAATCCCTCCAAATCCAGTAAACATTTCTTTCATTTGCTCCAAATCAGAATCCTAATGTATCCTACATTAAGTGCCATGTTGCCCCCCGAGTGACCTTACAATTTGAACATTGACACGGCTTTACCCTGTGTTTTCCTTAAAAAATAGGGTGTCGAAGGCAAATTGAGCTTAGTACATTTTCCTAAAGATGTGTGGGCCTCCTCACCCCGCCCCACCCTGCCCTGCCCCATTATTGAAAGTTTCCCAGAATTTCTCACATGCTCACTCAGGCATAAGAAGCCTCCAAGCTCCCATGTTTTGAATAAGCAATGCTGGCCAGGTTGCCAGTGATATTCCCTCCCCTGTGGGCCAGGGCTGGGATTTCCACAGAGGTGAGTTCTGAGCAGAGACTTGGGTGTGCCCGAGAAAGTGGAGGGGGTGGGGGGAAGGGTGGGGAGCACGCTCAGCTTTGGGCCTCATGCATAAGAGAAAGAACTTCAGTCAAACCTGGACTGGGGATGTACTGCTGAAAAAAATAAGTCACTTGTAAAGAATAAACCTTGGAACAGTAAAAAAGGTTTGTATAAAATGAAAAGGAATGATTCTACATTACTTAAGAACTGCTAATACATTTGAAAAGGCCATATGGAAATAAACTGAGTGGTTTAAAGGAACTGAGTAGCTGACAACTGACGTCCTAAGAAACTCTCCTCTACCCGAGTCTCATGTCTCCTTTTTTGTTTTTTCTAATGTTTGTTTATTTTTTTTTTTAATTTTTTTTTCAACTTTTTTTTTTATTTATTTTTGGGACAGAGAGAGACAGAGCATGAACGGGGGAGGGGCAGAGAGAGAGAGGGAGACACAGAATCGGAAACAGG